CTCACCTCAGCCTCCCAAAGGTGTGGGATTACAGGCTGAGCCACCGAGCCCGGCTTTTTGTTTTTGTTTTGAGTTGGAGTCTCACTCTGTCACCCAGACTGGAGTGCAGTGACACGCTCCCGGCCACCGCAGCTTTGACCTGCTGGGTTCTGGCGATCCTTCCGCCTCAGCCTTCCAAGTAGCTGGAACTACAGGTGCACACTACCACGCCCGGCTAATTTTTGACTTGACTTATTGTAGAGATGAGGTCTCGCCAAGTTGCCCTGGCGGGTCTCGAACCCGCGGGCTCAGGCAATCCACTCAGCTCAGCTTCCCAAAGCGCTGGGATTACAGACTGAGCCACCGAGCCCAGCTAGGATTTTGGTTTTAATCTCTCAGTGCACACGTTAAAATTGAACCACAGTCTTTGTGTTCCATAGTCCTTCCCAAGCAAGCTGTATAAACACTTAGGGACATCAAGAGGTAGGAAAACCGAGAAAGCCAGTTTCTATCTAATATATATTAAATAGGTAAGAGTGGATATTGAACTTGACAAATGCTCAGATTTAATTATTATGTCTAATCAAATTTAAAAGCTTCATATCTGAGTCACAGAACCAAACAATAACAAAAAAAAAACCAACTTCTTTTTTTTGAGTCAGGGTCTCATTCTGTCACCCAGGTTGGAGTACAATGGCGTGAGCACGGCTCACTGTAGCCTCCTCAACCTCCTAGGTTCAGGTGATCCTTCTGCCTCAGGCTCCTGAGTAGCTGAGACTATAGGCATGTGCCACCAAGTTTTGCTAATTTTTATTTTTTGTAGAGATGAGGTCTTGCTATGTTGCTTAGACTGGTTTTGAACTCCTGGCTCAAGCAATCCTCTTGTGTTAGCCTCTCAAAGTGCTGGGATTATAGGCATGAACCACTGCAACCGGCCTGTACCACTTTCTTCTATTAAGTATTAATAGTTACACAACAATTATCAATTAAAGCTGCTTTTATATTGCATCTGCAATAAGCTCTTTACTACCTCTAAACTGACAGTGTGTTTAACAAAAAAACATTATCAGATCGTTCCTAGAGAAAAGTCAAATCAAGTCTCTTAAGCCTTCCTTGGAGTGTAACAGTCTCTCTAAAAGGCAAATTCTGGCATATGCTGGTTCTCAGACACAAAGAACTTTAAAAACAAAACCTTTGGGGTCTTCCACTTGAAAGAAAAGGCTGTGACACTCAGCAGCTTCTGATTTGGTTGTCAAGGAAACAAACTCACTAATTAATAGGAATTCAAATGATCTAACAGCTTTCACTTATTCATTTTTCTTTTATTTTGCAGATTAATTCAAATCTTTTAAGTACAAAACAGACCAAGTATATTAGGTGACCTAGCTTTCATTCTTTGTTTCCTTTTGCTACCAGCAAGTAAATCACAGTGGACTTGTCTTTCAAAGAGAACAATTCATCAGTGGTGAACGGAGAACCTGTCTTTTAAATGAAAGGAATTTTAAAAGCCCATTGATACTTGGTCAAGCAAATTGTGTCAGGAAACAATAGAGCACATTGAACTGCCCTGATACAGTTTAAGAAGAGAAGCAGAGATGAAAGTTTTATTGAATAAAGTCCTTGAGAGAAACATACATAGAAAAATACCATTTGCTAAAAATGCTAAAAAAAAAAATAGTCATACTTAAAAAAACTGTTCTTGCCTGTAATCCCAGAACTTTGGAAGGCTGAGGCAGGAGGACTGCTTGAGCCCAGGAGATCAAGACCATACATAATGAGATCTGTTTCTACAAAAAAAAAAAAACAAACCAAAAATCAGCCGGGCTTGGTAGCTCATGCCTGTAGTCCCAGCTACTTGGAAGGCTGAGGCGGAAGAATTGCATGAACCAAGGAGGTTGAGATTGCAGTGATGAGTGATCCATGCCACTGTACTCCAACCTGGGCTACAGAGTAAGAGTGAGACTCTGACTCAAAAAAAGAAGAAAAAAATTGTTCTTCAAGATTACTTCATTTACAACTAGCTGGCTCTCTATGAAGTATCTCTCATTCAGTGGGAATAGCTGGTGGGAGGAACATGGCCTCTATCTGCTCATAGTCGGCATAACATAGATTCTGCTGAACAAAGGCAAATAATCCATTTATTCCACAACATTCTCATCCATCAGCTAATTTCTGTCTATGACTGGGATCCTGGGAGGCAGCAAGAACAGTGGGCATGTCTTTCATTATTCATAACACCCAGCGCAGTGGCATGCATATAAACCAATGGTTTATAAATACCTCTTTACTAAATTACTAAAGAAAACAAAAACCGTGGCATGATCTTTCATAATTCTCTGCTTATAAAATAATGACAAATTAGAAGTTATTCTTAGCACAATGCCATAAATATGCTCATTTAAAGCTTAATTCTGGGCTCTGGATTTTTTTGTTTTTTTTTTTTGAGTTGGAGTCTCACTCGGTTACCCAGACTGGAGTGCAGTGGCCGCTCCGGGTCACTGCAGCCTCGACCTGCTGGGCTCCGGCGATCCTTCCGCCTCAGCCTTCCGAGTAGCCGGAATTACAGGCATGCGCTACCACGCCCAGCTGATTTTCTTATTTATTGTAGAGATGAGGTCTCGCCTGCCCAGGCAGGTCTCAAACCCACGGGCTCAGGCAGTCCACTCACCTCAGCCTCCCAAAGGCACAGGATTACAGGTTGAGCCACCGAGCCCGGCTGGATTTTTTTTTTTTTTTTTTTAATTCCAGAATTGTCAAAGGTGCTTTCCACTGAAGATACCAGGAATCCAGGCTCTTCTTGACAAATTTCATAAAAGCAGATAAACTATTTTTAACACTGTAAACCCTATAGTCTAACAAAAGGGCTTACCTAATAAGAAATGTTCCTGACATCCAGAAATCACCTGTCAGCCAATATTTTATTGAAAGTTCTAAGAGCATAAAAGAAAAAAGACTTTCAGCTATGATGAATAAGTCTGTGGCATTTAAAAATCCCTACCAAGAGGAGGAGAACCGGGTAGCCAAGAAGACAAGGGTGGGAGACTCATTTTAAATTTTTCATAATTTTGAATCATAATGACTTATTACCTATTCAAAGAAGACATTTTGGGGGGGGGATTAGAGTCTCACTCCGTCGCCCAGGCTGGAGTGCAGTGGCACGCTCACAGTCACCCCAGCATCAACGTGCTGGGCTCAGGCGATCCTTTCGCCTCAACCTTCCAAGTAGCTGGAACTATAGACATGCACTACCACGCCCGGCTAATTTTTTGATTTATTATAGAGATGCAATCTCGCCAAGTTGTCCAGTCTTGTCTCAAACCTGTGGGTTAAGGCAATTCTCTCACCTTGGTCTCCCAAAGTGCTGGGATTACAGGCTTGAGCTACCATACCCGGCCCAAAGAAGACGTTTTTTAAAAAGTAATATATAAAATTCTCACAAGAATCTCTAAGATGCTAAGTTTGATAGAGGAGGGACCAGCAAGGAAGCTATTCAAAGGAATGAATACTCACAGCCGAAGCTCTTCAAAAGACTTCACTGAGTAGAGGGGGGAGTTTGGATCCCGCTGCAGGACTTCCACTTGGTTTGTGTTATCCACAAGGTTGCTTCGGATCAGCTTGTTGAGTAAGGACTGGGCAGCTCTGTCCTCTGTCACAAAGAAATCAGTAGATTTTCTTCACACTCATTTGGCAAACCCCACTCTCATAAAACCACTCTTTCTCCCACTCCACACCAGCACCGGGGCCTCCAAGTATTGCCAGAGAAAAATAATAATCACATGGACAGATCTCACTTTAAATTGTTGATCACTACACTCAAATGGGCTGAGCTGCCCAGGGAGTCTGCATGTTTCCATAGTTCACTCGTATGTTTTCTTCTCCTCAAACCTCCATTTATACCTTCTCTCTATTCCAACGTTTCGCCCTCCACACTCTCATTCATGATCACAGATACACTCATCTGTGTCTGTGCCCATATTCTCCACTTTCTCTCCTGTAACTATGATGAGCAGGAGTGCTATTCAGGCTCACCTCTCTACCTCCAGCAGGTCTCATCCCTTCCTGTTCACAGGGACATCCTTCTCGACACCAGTTTCCCTCCACTGCATCATTCTCACTAGCATGGGACCCTGTCTTAACATCTTTCATCATAAATCTGCTTCCTCCTTTATCTCACATTTCCAGCCAGTTACTGCCCCATTTCTCTACTCCTCTTTCTGGAGCACTCCCTAAAGGGGGTTGTCTATACTTTTCTTCACTTCCTCTCCTCCCCTTCTCTGTTGTATCTACACTGAACAGGCCTTTTTTCTTTGACTTCCTTTGTCAAGCTCACCAATGACTTCTACATTGTCAAATCAATCTAATGGTCAATGTCTAGTTCATTTCTTAATCAATGTATTACCTATATTTGACACACTACTTTTGAAACACTTCCTTTTGGCTTCTGGGATGTCACACTCATGTGGTTCTCCTTCTATCTCACTGACAATTCCTTCTCAATCTCCTTTGCTCATTCCTCTCATCTCTCTGATCTTGTAGCTCAGAGGGCCTCTGGCTCCCAAAAGGCAAGCCCTGGGTATATGTGTTCTGTTGTTACAGGGCTTTCAAGAGTAGTTACCTTTCTCTTCTTCATCTGTTTTATCAGCAGTGGTACTGGTTTTGATAACACCTATACAAAGAAAACAACTGTCGTCATTAAAAGAAGCCTTTTTTTTTTTTAAATCAGTCTCACTCTGTTGCCTAAGCTGGCTGGTCTCGAACCCCTGAGCTCAGACAAGCCTCTCGCTTTGGCCTACCAAAGTGCTGGGATTATATAGGCTTCAGCCACCACACCCAGACATTTTTTTTTTTTTTTTTGGGTTGGAGTCTCACTCTGTCGCCCAGACTGGAGTACAGCCTTGACCTGCTGGGCTCTGGCAATCCTTCCGCCTCAGGCTTCCAAGTAGCTGGAATTACAGGCACACGCTACCACACCCAGCTAATTTTTTGATTTATTGTAGAGATGAGGTTTCACCAAGTTGCCCAGGCGGGTCTCGAACCCATGGGCTCAGGCAGTCCACTCACCTCAGCCTCCCAAAGCGCGGGATTACAGGCTGAGCCACTGAGCCCGACTTTTTTTTTTTTTTTTTTTAAACGAGTCAGTGTCTCACTCTCACCCAGGCTAGAGTAGAATGGCATGATCATGGCTCACCACAGCCTCTACCTCCTGGGCTCAGGCGATCTTCCTGCCTCAGCCTCCCAAGTAGCTGGGACTACAGGCACACTCCACCAAATCTTGCTAATGGCTGATCTCAAACTCCTAGGATCAAGCAATCCTTCTGCCTTAGTCTCCCAAAGTGCTGGGATTACAGGCTTGTTCTAGAAAGGCAAATATTAAAGCCAACTAAAAGGTGGGACAATGTAAACAATTTAAGTGATCAAAATATAAATGGCTGACATTTTGCTATGTTTAAAGAATTGTTATTTTTAAGTGTGTAAGAAAATTTTAGAAGCCGGGCTCGGTGGCTCAGCCTGTAATCCCATGCCTTTGGGAGGCTGAGGTGAGTGGCCTGCCTGAGCCTGCAGGTTCAAGACCCACCTGGGCAGCGAGACCTCATCTCTACAATAAATCAAAAAATCAGCTGGGTGTGGTAGCGCATGCCTGTAATTCCGTCTACTTGGAAGGCTGAGGTGGAAGGATCGCCAGAGCCCAGCAAGTCAGGGCTGCGGTGGCCGGGAGCAGCCACAGCACTCCAGTCTGGGTAACAGAGTGAGACTCCAACTAAAAAAAAAAAAAAAAAAAAGAAAAAATAAATAAATAAATAAAATTTTAAGTTTTTAGAAATTTTGACTCACTTCAGTATGGTCAGAATACATCACCTCTGATTTACTAATCCCAATTTAAAATACAGCATCACTAGCAAACACAATCTACCACTTTTGACCTATCAAATAGGAAACATTCTAAAAGTTTGACTACAAATTCTGTGGTGAGGCTGTAGAGAAACAGACACTCCCATGCTTTGCTGATAGAAATACAAATTGGCATGATACCTATGGAGAGTATAATGAGTACTTTGAAAATACTAATGAAAACTACAAAAGCATATAACTTTAAACTAGCAAATCCATTTTTTGGGAATTTATCCTACAAAACATTTGTATACATATACAAAGATTTAAGATTATGGGTATGTCATGAAGCACTATTTGTAATAGCAAAAAAATGGGACCAGTCAAAACCTCTATCAATAAATGACTAGCTAAGCCTAGGCAATATTGCAAGACCTCATCTCTACAAAGAAAAAAAAAATTAGCTGGGCATGGTGGCACATGCTGGTAGTCCCAGCTATTCCAAATGCTAAGGCAGGAGGATCACCAGAGCCCAGGTGTTTGATGCTCTGGTAAGCCATAATTTGCCACTGCACTCCAGCCTAGGTGACAGAGTGAGACCCTGACATACACATACACAAACACACACCCCAAAAGATGACAGGTTAAACAAACCATGAATACCAGCACAATGCAGTTTTATGCAGTTAAAATAGACAGCAAGGAAACTCCACATACTGATATGGAAAGTTTGTCAACATATAGTGTTGAGTGAAAAAGTTAAGTGTACTACATATGCATCATGCCACTTTTTTTTATTAAAAGAATGAGAATTTATACTTGTTCCTCCTTTGCATAAAGAAACTTTGGAAGAATATTAAAAATCCAATAACAGTAGTTACTTATGGGATGGGGTGATGTTATGGGTTAAACTGTGTCTCCCCTAAAACTCACATATTCAAGTCCTAACCTCAGAATTATTTTAAAACAGGGTTGAAGCCGGGCTTGGTGGCTCAGCCTGTAATCCCGCGCCTTTGGGAGGCTGAGGTGATGAGTGGTTTGCCTGAGCCCACGGGTTTGAGACCCGCCTGGGCAACTTGGCGAGACCTCATCTCTACAATAAATCAAAAATTAGCTCAGCGTGGTAGTGCGCGCCTGTAGTTCCAGCTACTTGGAAGGCTGAGGCGGAAGGATTGCTGGAGCCCAGCAGGTTGAGGCTGCAGTGGCCGGGAGCAGCCACTGCACTCCAGTCTGGGTGACAAAGTGAGACTCCAACTCAAAAAAAAAAACAAAAAACAAAAACAAAACAAAAAAAAAAACAGGGTTGTTGCAGATTAGTTAAGATAAGGTAATGGTTGGGCATGGTGGCTCATACCTGTAATCCCAGCATTTTGGGAGGCTGAGGCGGGAAGACTGCTTGAGCCCAGGAGTTTGAGATCAGCCTGGACAACATAGCAAGACCTCATCTCTACCAAAAAAAAAAAAAAAAAAAGAATGAGGTCATTAGGGTGGGCCCTAATCACTTTTCATACTTTCTGAGTTTTGAATCCAGATTTACTTTTCAAAAAGTTAAATTTAAAAATTTACAGAAATTGGCTATGTGCAGTAGTTCTTGCCTATAATCCCAGTACTTTGGGAGACTGAGGTGTGAGGGTCATTTGAGGCCAGGAGTTAAAGGCCAGCTTCGACAACATAGCAAGTCCTCATCTCTACTTGGGAGGCTGAGATTGGAGGATCACTTAAGCCCAGGAGTTCAAGGTTGTAGTGAACTATGATCATGTCACTGTACTCTAGCCTGGGTGACAGAGCAAGACTCTGTCTAAAAAAATAAAATAAAAATAAAATTTAAAAAAATATTATCAAGTGAATAGTGACAGAACAATCCAAAATGATTTTTAATTTTAAGGAGTCGGAGGCTAGAAAAAAATCTAAAAAATGAACATATCTTTTCTGAACCAGAACCTAATTTACTGGCTCTCAAACATGTGCAGGTAACACTAAATGAAAGCTACACTGTAAGTGATAGCCAAGAATGCACAACAGGTGTCCACATGTAACTCTTATCTAGCTTGTAGCTACTAGTGACTCACCATTGGTATCTGGTATAACTTTCTCTTCCTTGATCTGCAAACTGGTCATCTGAATAGGAATAAAACGAAACAGTTAAGCAAGTAACCCAACAAAAGGAAGGCCTGTGAGCAAAGAGAAGCCCCCTAGTGAAAGTCTAGCCTGAAATTACTTTATCACCTATATTCAGGGAGTTGGTTCGTCCTGCTCAAAGCAGGATCGCTAAAAGTCTACATAAGAATATCATTTTATATATCTTCAACAGTCTTAAACAAGGGGGCTGTGGACTAAATGTAACGGTAGGGGTAAAATATGAACAAGTCTTGGCTGGGTACAGTGACTCACACCTGTAATCCCAGTAATTTTGGGAGGCCAAGGCAAGAAGATATACACAATGGAATATTATGCAGACATAAAGGACAAATATATGGACTCTGCAGCAAATTGGATGGATTTGGAGTCGATCATACTCAGTGATTCATCACAGAAACAAAGAACTAAGTTCCATATGTTCTCACTCATAAGATGAACTTGAATAATGATAATGCTATAGAAAGGAGATTGGCAGTAGCAGAAAACTGTCAGGGGAAGAGGGGATGGGACTAGCAGTGGGGGGAAGCTGCTAGGGGAGGGAGGGGCACGCCTCATCAACAAGGGTACCTGCATGATCAATGTTTGTATACCTAGCCCTGAATTGTACCCCACATCTTTATAACAAACAAATTAATTAATCAATAAAAAAACTTAAAATAAATAAATAAATAATAAATAAATAAATATTTTTAAAAGGCTAGGAGTATAAGACCAGCCTATACAACATGGCAGAACCTTGTCCCTAAAAAAAAAAAAAAAAAAAAAAATTATTTTTGAGTTGGCATCTCACTTCGTCGCCCATGCTCGAGTGCAATGGCACACTTGCGGCTACCCCAGCGTCAACCTTCTGGGCTCAGACAATCCTTCTGCCTCAGCCTTAGTAGCCGAAACTATAGGCACATGCTACCATGTCCAGCTAATTTTTTTATTTCTATTTTTTAATTTTTTTTGAGTTGCAGTCTCACTGTCGCCCAGACTGGAGTGCAGTGGCTACTCCCGGCCACCGCAACCTCGACTTGCTGGGCTCCAGCGATCCTTCCGCCTCAGCCTTCCAAGTAGCCAGAACCACAGGCATGTGCTACCACGCCCGGCTGATTTTTTTTTTAATTTACTGTAGAGATGAGGTCTCGCTGCCCAGGCGGGTCTCGAACCCACGGGCTCAGGCAATCCACTCACCTCAGCCTCCCAAAGGCGCGGGATTACAGGCTGAGCCACCGAGTCCAGCTTAATTTTTTTATTTATTGTAGAGATGAGGTCTCACCAAGTTGCCCAGGCTGTTCTTGAATTCTTGACCCCACGGTCTTAGGCAATCCCCTCACCTTGGTCTCCCAAAGTTCTGGGATTACAGGCTTGAGCCACCTTGTCCAGCCAATTTTTTTTTCTTGAGTTGGAGTCTCACTCCTTCACACAGGCTGGAATGCAGTGGCACGCACACTCACGGCCACCCCAGTGTCAAACTGCTGGGCTCTGGTGAACCTTCTGCCTCAGCCTTCCAAGTAGCCGGAACTACAGGCGTGTGCTACCACACCCAGCTAATTTTTTATTATTGTAGAGACGAGGTCGCCAAGTTGCCTGGGCTGATCTCAAACTCATGGGCTCAGGCAATACACTCACCTTGGCTTCCCAAAGTGCTGGGATTACAGGCTGAGCCACTGTGTCCAGTCAATTTTTTTTTTTTAAAAGAAAGTCTCAAGCCTCTGCTTCTCTCCCAACTTATACTCTTTCTAGAATATCTAACTTTCATTAAATATCTATTATACTGTACTAAAAAACAAAACAAACAAAACAAAATACAAAAAAGGCCAGGCATGGTGGCTCACGTCTGCAATCCCAGCACTTTGGGAGGCCAAGGTGAGCGGATTGCTTTAGCCTAGGAGTTCGAGACTAGCCTGGGACACATAGCAAGACCTCATCTCCACAAAAAAAAAAATAAAGTATGAATATCTATTAAGTCACATGTTGCATAATAACTTTTCAGTAAATGACAGACCGAATATACAACAGTGGTCCCATAAAATTATAATGGAGCTGAAAAACTTTATTTTTTTTTTGAGTCAGAGTCTCACTCTATTGCCCAGCTGGAGTTTTATATTTATTATAGCTAATGCTTTATATTTTTTATTATTTTGAGTCAAGGTCTCACTCTTTTGCTCAGGCTTTAGAGCACTGGCACGGTCGTGGCTAACCAGTCTCAACCTCCTGGGTTTAGGTGATCCTTCTATCTCAGCGTCCCTAATAGCTGGGACTACAGGGATGTGCACCATACCTGGCTCATTTCAATTTTGATGTTTTTTTTTTTTTTAGAGATGTGGTATCTTGCTATGTTGCCCTGGATAGTCTTGAACTCCTGGGCTCAAGAGACCCTCCTGTCTTGGCCTCCCAAAGTGTTGAGATTGCAGGTGTGAGCCACCACACCCAGCCCATATTTCTATTTTTTTAAAAAAAGTTTATTTAGAAAGTAAACTAGAGAAAGAGAAGATTCATCTCCCCAGAGTAGGGGAGGGGGCTCAAGCCAGGAAACATGGCAGCAGCCATAGCTCCAAGAGCACATGGCCACACCAAAGTCTTGTAAGGCAATGGCTCATGTTTTCTATTTTTAAAACTTTTTAAACAACTGGCAGCACAGAAGGTTTATTTACACCAGCATGGCCACGAACACAGGAGTAATGCATTGTATTACATTGTTATGACGTTATGAGGTCACTAGGTGATAAGAATTTCTCAGCTTGGCCAGGAGTGGAGGCTCAAGTCTGTAATCCCAGAACTTTGGGAGGCTGAGGTGAGAGGACTGCCTGAGGGGTTTGAGACCAGCCTGGGCAACTTGATGAGACCTAGTCAGTACAGTAAAAAAAAAAAAAAAAACTAGCCAGGCGTGGCACATGCCTATTGTCTCAGCTACACAGGAGGCTGACGCAGCAAGATTGTCTGAACCCACGAGTTCGATGCTGCAGTGAAATATGATCTCGCCAGAACAAGACCCTGTTTCTGAAAAATAAAAAAAGAAAATATTGTTATACTGCTGTTCAATGTGCTTGTGTTATAAGCTAGGTGTTACTAAGAAAGAGTCAAAAAGTTATGAGAAATGAAAGTTTATAAAGTAAAAAAGTTACAGTAAGCTAAGGTTAATTTACGACTGAAAAAAAAGATATATACATATATTTTGTGAGTTGGAGTCTCACTATGTCACCCAGGTTGGAGTGTAGTGGCACGCTCACAGCCACTGCTGTCTTGACTGCTGTCTGTAGTTCCAGTTACTTGGAAGACTGAGGTGGAAGAATTACTGAGTAATTCTTCCAAGTAGCTGGAACTACAGAAGTATGCCACCTTGCCTGGCTAATTTTTTGATTTATTGTAGAGACGAGGTCTTGTCAAGTTGCCCAAGCTGATCTCAAACCCCTGGACTCAGGCAATCCTCTCGCCTCTGCCTCCCAAAGTGCTGGGATTACAGGCGTGAGCCACCACATCCAACAGAAAAAGAGATATTTTTTAATAAACTTAGTGTAGCCTAAGTGTACTGTTTATAAAGTCTATAGCAGTGCACAATAATATCCTAGGCCTTTATATTCACTCAGTTACTCACCCAGAACAAGTTCCAGCCCTGTAAGCTCTACTCATGGTAAGTTCCCTATACAGGTGCTTCTTAAATCTTTTATACTGTATTTTCACTGTATCTTTTCTATATTTAGATATGTTTAAATACACAAATATTTATCACTGTGTTACAACTGCCTACAGTATAGTACAGCAACATGCAGTACAGGTTTGTAGCCTAGGAGTGATAGGCTGTACCATATAGCCTAGGTGTGTAGTAGGCTGTGCTACCACATACAGTGTTCACACAATGACAAAATTGCCTGATGCATTTCACAGAATGTATCCTCATCCTTAAGCAACACATGATTGTATATTCTTTCAATGGCACACTCAAAGTTCCTTTCTAGACACAGTAAAGAATGACAAATAAATATCTAAGTATCTCAAGTTTTTGTAACCCTGAAACCTACAATGAATTAAAGCAACACTTAGCAACTAAATTACATTCCTCTTTCTTGTCTTACCGACCACCTACATTATAATAATGTTAGTAAAAACATTTTCATTACAATGAAAAATTGACCAACCCAAGTTCCTGATTTGAAAATCTTTCAGAGACTTGAACAAAAGGTTTTTTTTTGTTCACTCTTGGCCATGCAGTCCGAGCCAATACGAACTTGCATACTAAGCTAGAAATGAAAGTGCAAGCAGAGCAATTAATTGATAAATTTGTAGTCACGTTTCCACTTTCATGAGAACAATTTTTCTGTGTTCAGTGTTGGTAAGAGTGAAGTATGAAAAAGTAAAAGTATGATATAAAGATGGTTCTATAAAGGTATGTTGTCAGGTTGAGGAATTCCCAATTAAGCCCTAAGTCAAAACTCTGCCCCCCCCAAAATCCCTGAGATGCTATAATTCATTACCCTTATGACAACCACTAGTGTTTCCTGAGGGCTTACCACACTTTGCTAAATGATGTTTCTCCCTCCTAGTTGATCTTCCCACAATTGACCCTGCCCTTGGTCTTTGGGAGAAGTCCATGTTCACACAGTAACAGTATTCATCTGATCTCTTTAGAGAAATCAGGTTTCCAGAGGAAAATCACAACAATATTTCTTCTTTGAGGGAATACCCTTTCCCTAAAGGCCAATGGCAGATTAGGTACATAAAGTAAGGTATGTTATGCCAGAACTTATCCATTGATTCATCTTCATTCCAGGCTGAATACACAGGGATTTAGTAGCAGACTACTTTTGGGAGAGTGTCAAAATGTGAAGAGACAATCTAGAGTCCCCTAATCCAAGGTCTCTAAAAAGTTGAACTGATGGGGAAAAAAATACTGTAACCAAAATCACTGTGATGTCATTTGTATGAAGGACAGATGTGCTAACAAATGGTGACAAACTTAGGATCTAGGTAAAGGGATCCTACTTGCAAGAATTTGT